TCCCCAGTCCTTGGGATTTCTGTGGGTTCCTTTGGGGTCCCTGGCACTGCCCCCATGCCAACCCCAACACCCACAGACACCATATTCCCCAGGAGATGCCTCAGAACTGAGTATTCCCTGGAAAGCCAGCCTTTCATGGGTTGAATTTTCACCAAAATAATGGATATTGTTCCTCTCTATTGTGAAACAAACGTGCCCTGCCCGTGCTGCATTCCCGGCAGGATCAGCCCCCTCTGGAGCCAAACCCACAGCTCCAAGCTCTGGCCAGCTCCTCAGCACTGCTGCCAGGCCTTGCAAGTCCTGCCTGTTTCCCAGGTCAGAATTCCAAGTGCCATTCCTGACTTTCTGTGAAATTAATTTGATGCCAGCGTGTCCCAGTGGACACCTGGTGTTGTCCCAGTATAAGGCACCCCAGCAAAAAAAGGAGAATGTGAGAATGTCACAGGGCACAGCTGCTGCTCTGTGCTGGTGACACTCCTGGAGAGCAGGATGGCTTTGGGAGCACGAGGTACAGACAGAAAATCATGGAATTATTTGGGTGGGAGGGGACTTAAAGCTCATTTTGTTCCAAGGCAGGTGCCCAGAGGGCTCCACATTCCAAACTGCAGCTCCTGCCTCTCCTCAGTGACCTCTTAAGGGCATTTTCCAGCTCCTGCAGGGCTGTGAGAGCTGGCACAGGGCTGTAAACAACAGCCCCTGGGCACAGTGCCACAGCTGCAGCTGCCAGCTGCTGGGAGAGCCATGGATGTGCCTCCTGCAGCTGCAGCAGCTTCTCCTGCCAGCCCTGGGAGCCCCAGAGGGACACCAACCCCGTGGGGAGGGCACAGAGGGCATGGAGGAGCTCCAGGAGGGAATTCTGCAACAGCTTCACTGCCCTGCTGCGAGCCAGAATCCACATCCTGGGCTGATGCCAGCCTGGGCAGCAGGAAATGGGGATTGTGCCCCTCTGCCCTCAGGTGAGACCCCAGAGCCACCAGCACGGGGAGCTGGAGCCAGGCTGGAGAGCTGGGAATGTTCCCCTGGAGAGGAGAAGCTTTGGGGTGAGCTCAGTGTGACCTTGCAGGGCCTGAGGGGCTCCAGGAGAGCTGGAGAGGGACTGGGGACAGGGATGGAGGGACAGGACACAGGGAATGGCTCCCAGTGCCAGAGGGCAGGGATGGGTGGGAGATTGGGAATTGGGAATT